GTTTGCACTTTCTAAGCCAACGGACAATCATAGTGTACTAGTAGCATTATTTTACACGATGATTTTCCTTTAGATATCAGTTGATAAAATTTTATCAGCATCCAAATTGATATCCAATTGCAAATGGGTATAAGATTTTATTTATTTGCAGTTGAAATTGTATCAGAAAATGCTTGAGCTTTCTGAGCCATCAGACAACTTTAAAATGATGGAGCGGAACCACATGCTATGAATGGTGTGATGGGGTGTCAGGTCACCCACTCCCCAGAGCTATCAGGTTTCTTCTGCACGTGGCCCTTGGGTCTGAACCTGAGAGACTTTCCTTTCTCCAGTCCTGGGTGACACTTGCTGGCCTGACACAGAAGCTGTCTCCTGAAAAGCAGGTTGGCTGAGATCAAGGGGCATCAGCTCAGACAGGATACATGGGGCTGCAGGGACCTTCCTGGGGAGCACATGACTGTGTACAGCACCCCTCTTCCACGTGTCCTAAGCACCTTAGTGGCATTGACAGGGCACTGGACTTAGGAAAACACACAAGTCATCTCCTGCATCCACCGACACTCCCCAACAGGAGAGTAATGAATATGTATGAGATTCTCCCAGGACACTGGAGCCAAAAGCAACAAGGAAATGGTCTCGTGCCTTCCCTCCTCTGGCCTCTGAGTTGATATATAAGGGCCTCTCCCAGCAGAAGGACATCATCCTCCCTCCCTCACCTCCCGAACCAACCTCCTCACCTCTCCTGACTCCTCTCGACTGACACCATGGGTTGCTGTGGCTGTGGTGGTGGTGGCTGTGGCTGTGGTGGCTGTGGCGGCTGTGGCTGTGGCGGCTGTGGCTGTGGTGGCTGCGGTGGCTGTGGTGGTTGCGGTGGTTGCGGTGGCTGTGGTGGTTGCGGTGGTTGCGGTGGCTGTGGCTGTGGCGGCTGTGGCTGTGGCGGCTGTGGCAGCTGCACCGTCTGCAGATGCTACCGTGTGGGCTGCTGCTCTGGCTGCTGCCCCTGCTGCTGTGGCTGCTGTGGGGGCTGCTGCAGCCAACCCGTGGTCTGCTGCTACCGCCGCACCTGCTGCTGCAGACCCTGTTGCTGCAGCTGTGGCTGTGGTGGCTGCGGTTGTGGCTGCTGCCAGAAGCAATGCTGTTGCTAGGCGCCGGGCTCAGGGCTGCTGCGGGGCGGGCCCAGGCCTCTGCTCCAGGGTGAGAGATCCCGGGTCCTGGCTCCAGCCTCGGGACAAACTCTCCCCTCCAGCCCTCCCTCCCTACTGTCCAGCTAGCCCTCCCTCCCCCATTGTCCGGCTCTTTCTCCCACGTGCCCTGCAGCTGTGCTTTCTGTCCTCTGACTCTGCACTGCCTGGGTGGTTCCTTCCCTTCACAGGGGCATCCTGAAGCTTCAGCTTCTTCCCGAACCTTCTACTTAGCGAACAGGAGGCATCTATTACGTGGCATCCTTATGTCCTCGTCTGCGTGGACTAATAGCTTTAATAATGGATACAACTATGGACATTAGGGAGTGGAAAACTAACTGCATCAAAAAATTCATTTCTATTTTATAAAGTCAATATCACTAACTGTTCATCCAAAATAACGTGACACCATTTTCTTCTTTGAATTGGGCCTTCATTAACTTTTTCCTCATGTGTATCTCTGCCGAAAGACATTTTTAATAAAAAAAATCAATCAAGAATTCTTCATTTGCTCATGTCTCTATTCTATCATGACGCATATCCTCTCATGCAGAGGTTCCAAAATCTATCAGATCGACTCTCCACTTTCGGAAAAAAATAATTTATTCCGTGTCCCCAGGAAAATATCTTTTTTTTTTTAAAAGAAAGTAATGGAAATCACATTATAAGTGCACCCAAGGCTATCCTTGGCCCCCTGGTTCTTCCAAGCCCCCCGTCACCCAGATGTTAGCATCACCAGGTTGAGAAGCCGGCTCTCCTGGGTGCAGCCGTTGGAGTCCAAGACCAGAAGGGCTGCTGTTAGTGGTCAGTGAATCTCACTGTGTTAAACTGGGTCTTACCAAAGATAGAAATGTGTGTGGAAATTCTCGGCCTTTGTTCATGAACATCAAGGAGCTGTGTTCCCCTAAACATGAGGTTGGTGTCTGCAGTGAATCCTAATTGTGAGTGTGGACAGCCCCTGTGGCAGAGCTTACTCAGCTAAGTGTGAGTACTAAGTTATGGTAGGGATTCGGCCAAGACCTGACTTTGTCTTAAAGAGTTTTCCCCCTAACACTCAGATTCAATCACTGATTGTTTCCTACGCTGTTGGGTTTCTTCTCCTTTTCCACTCCTACATCATCCATCAAAATGGAGTTCTGTGTAGGTTCTCTATTATTATTATTATTTTAGCACAGCGGGTAGGGCGTCTGCCTTGCACGCAGCCGAGTTCAATTCCTCCGCCCCTCGCGGAGAGCCCAGCAAGCTCCCCGTGACGTATTCGATATGCCAGACACAGTAACAACAAAGTCTCCAATGGAGACGTTACTGGGCCCGCTCGAGCAAATCGATGATCAACGGGAGGGCCTTTTTATATATATATATTTTTAAATGAATCACTGTGAGATACAGCTAGACTTACAAACTTTTGTAATTACATTTCAGTCATACAATGATCTCTCCATCAGTGCTCATTCTCCACCACCAATGTTCCCATTATTCCTCCCGCCACCCCCCTCATCCTCCCCTCCCCTCCTATCCCACCCCCACCTGGGGCAGGCACATTATTTTTACTCTCTCTCATTTCTGTGTAGGTTCTTGCAGTCATGATATTCAACCCCAGTGTGCACATCTGTAGCTCATTGCCAGGGGAGCCGACCCAATGAGTGGTGACCCTTCAGCAGGGCTGTTCATTGGGTATCTGGCAGTGACTGACAGAGCGCGCCAGTTCCATCCTCTGCTGTCATCCCTTGCTGCCCTCTTCTGCTCTCTACAGCCTCTAGTGGCTCTCATACATCACTGCTCCAGGCCTGGTGCTCTTTATCTTCCTGCATCTTTATCCATCTCTGTCCCTTTTACTTCCCCTCCCCCCTCCCAACTTTATTTTTCTTTTGGTGCTCACTCAATCTTTCTCACATATGAAATTCATGTGTTTTCCCTGATGGCCTCTGGTCCTATTTTTGCCTCACTCCACACAACTAGAATTCAGAAAGTAAAGACACTTTGATTCTCTAATGTTTCCCAAGCACTGACACCAGCTCTGGCAATTAGGACGGTGAAGGGGCCTCTATGACAATGATGGTTGGAAATGATCATTCTGGACAAGAACTGAATACTGAAAGGATGTAAAGGGACAAACATGATAATCTTTCAGTACCTGTATCACAAACCACAACGTCCAAAAGGAAAGAGAAAGAGTGAGCCAGAGAGAGAAAGAAGAAAAGTACCTGCATAAAGCAGGCTGGGGGTGTGAGATGGGGGGAGGGAAACCGGGGACACTGTGGTGGGAAATGCACACTCGTGAAGGGACGGTGTTGGAACATTGTATGACTGAAATCCAATCATGAACAACATTGTAATTCTGGTTTAGAAGGCCAGGGCACTCCCAAACTCGGAGCATCTGGTGATTTTCCTCAAATCATCGGGGAGGTGGGAGAATTGAATTCAGTCCAATGGAGAGACTCCAGACACCTTGGGAGAACTTAAATAACCTTAAGTAATTACTTAAATTACTTAAGTAATTTAATTAACCTTTCAAATTTAAGTCACATTTACCCGTGTACAGGTTTTTCCATTTCTATCAAGAGGTCATATACACATTTCTATATTTTAATTTTAACCCGAGTAGTATAGTTCTTCTTTAAGAAAACAAAGTCGTCCACTTAATGCAGATATTAATATATAATTTCTCTATAAGAACGTTTCTAAAGCACCAGTAAGCCTCTACACACACACACCCACACACACACGCATGCACGTGCACAGTAATTATGAACAAGCTTGCATGAGAAAAATCCAGACTTTCACTAATATTTTCTACTATTACTGTCCCTTCATGTACAGAAATGCTTATGTGACTGCAGTTCTGCTCATTAAGTTTTGGGGAGAAATACTGGGCTTAAAGAACATGCTTAATAGAGCGAAGGATCGAACCCCTGCATTCAGTCTGTCTATCATTATTGCTCGGAAACTGTTGGTTTCCCGGGACAGCGCTGCCCAGTGTTCAGCGGATGCGAGGTTCTGGAGGCCTGATTAGCATATGCAAACGAGGGGCGTGGCCTCCGGGCGCACAGCCGAGGCCCCGCCCCCCCCCGGGCGGCCTCCGGGACCGGGAGTTCCGGGCGCAGTGTCCGGCGGCGCCGTCCCGCGGGGCCGTGACCTGGGGGGCACTGAACACCCCACTTAGAGGTGAGAAGAGCTGGGGGAGGTGAATTACTGAAGAGCCAGCGTCCTCTCTGGGCTTCAGCCCCTTCACGCAGTTGCGGAAGCGCGGGAAGCTCGGGGATCGCTGGCGCCGAGGGATCCTGGCTGGTGCTTGCAGGGTTGCGTCCTTTTTTGCCGCGGCTCCAGGTCCCCCTGCAGTCTCCGTGCTCCCGTCGCGGCTCTCCCAGGCCCCCCTGCAGGCTGCGTGCTCGCGCCGCGGCTCTCCCAGGTCCCCCTGCAGCCTCGATGCTCCCGCCGCGGCTCTCCAGGTCCCCCTGCAGGTTTAGTGCTCCCGCCGCGGCTCTCCCAGGTCCCCCTGCAGGTTTAGTGCTCCCGCCGCGACTCTCCCAGGTCCCCCTGCAGGCTCAGTGCCCAGACGCGACTCTTCCAGGTCTCCCTGCAGGCTCAGTGCTCAGACGTGACTCTTCCAGGTCTCCCTGCAGGCTCAGTGCTCAGACGCGACTCTCCCAGGTCCCCCTGCAGGCTCAGTGCTCAGATGCGCCTCTCCGCGGTCCCTGCAGGCTCAGTGGCGATTCTCCCGTTGCAGACGTTTGCAAACGCAAGTTCAATGAGATCCAGCGCGAGTGTGGTGAAAGGTCAGCATCGCAGGTGGTTCTGTCGTCTGGAGGTCACGCGTTTTCACTGAGCTCAGAAAGTCAGATGCTCTCCCAGGAGCAAAGGGCCTGGGGAGGAAGAGCAGGAGGACGTTGACGGTAAGAGACCTGGATTTCTGTTGAACGCTAACCGTGAGCGAGATCGAAGGGCAAGACAGGAATTCCTTACAGGAATGTTGTTGGAAAGGGTTGCCTGATTCGACAGAGGAGGTGGGGCACTCATCTGGAACATCAGCGTTGCTGCAGTTAGATGTGCAGAAGGTTTGATTAGGCAGAGAAAAGAGGGAGGTTTTCTTCTTGAACAGCTTTGTTTCCCACTGGAGTGTGTCTGCTCCGATCAACGTTGGAACAAGTTGGTGCTTCCTTAAACACTTTTTGTTTTTTTTTTTAAAAATGTATTTTTAGTTAATGTACTTATTTTAAATAGACCCGGACATTCTAAACTTCTAACTTCTAAATAATTAATTGTATCTTCAGACTTTCTTAGCAGTAGCTGCCTTTGATAAAAATTCTTATTTTAGTCACTCATTATTTGTTATGGAATGATAAAGGTTTGGGGTGGGAAGGGCAGATGAGGCAGGAATATTCAAAAGTGATTTCTTGGACCTGCCACTGCTTTGCAGCCAGAGGAAGTGATCTGCTGTGTAGTTCTCTGCTTGTTGTTAGAGCTCTTGGTTCTAGAAGAGTTTTGAGCTCAGGCTTGCAGGAGGCAGCTGCAAAGGAAGTCTTGTTGAGCTACCGAGATCCAGCAATTTCTGACACCTTGGCTGTGATCATCCATGTGTGTATGAATTAACTCTACTTTTGGTCTTATTGTTAAAAATTAATTTTTTTATAGTGTAGGTAGCAGGGCACAATAGTGTTAGCGGGTATTGATGTGGGAAGTTACTATACCTTCACCACCGTCCAAATGCCCAATACCCTCACCCTGGTCCTTGTCTTACATTTAGTCTTTCTTTGTCCCCTTTCCCTGTCCCTCCCACTCTTCCGCCACTTTGTGATTTGAATTTTAGTAGTGATCATCCACATTTTAAGAGTCTTGACATAAACAAGGTTGGAGCCTAGGTTGGAGCCTAGATGAAATTGAACTTTAGGCCTCAAAATCATTCTCTTTCCCTGGGGTCATCATAAACTTGAACCTGGAGAGAGGAAGATACAAACCATTCTAAGTTCCAAAGATATGCAGTGAAATATCAAAATATCAGAACTGAGTAAGCCACAGCACTTCGGTTCAGAGGAAAACCTGGGAAGCTATTGAGTAGGTTAGAGGTGGGGTGAATGTAACAGGTATTAAAAGATGATTTTCAGAAAAGACTAAGCTGTCATGCATACATAAAAAATGAATACATCTTTTAAATTATCACTGAGAAAACTTGAGAGATTATTAAAAATCAGATGGGAGGAGAACCTGAAGAGTAGATACATTTAAAAATCAGGAAGATTAAAAATGGGGGCAAAATTGATTTTCCCTGGAGGGAAGGAGAGGAGGATTATCTCTTCATCTGATAAATTTTATTTTCCTGCCTATAAAGAAGAATTTTTCCCTTTGTTCTCTGTGTCACAATTCTCAATTTTAAGATAGCTCACAGTGCGTTGTGTCCCTGAGACAGACATTACCCTTTCTCCATCCACCCCATACTTTAAGTCAGTAACGCAAATTGCATTTCAGAAGCTGGGTGCGCTCAACTGACTTTCTTTCGAAGTTGTCCATGAGATTTTGTAGGTTAATTTGAGGGGCACCTCCCAAGTGCTTTAGGGACCTCGGAATCTTTCCTGGCAACACTTGGCCATTGAATGTGAATATTCGATGTGTGTGTCCAGCAGTGCAATGTGTGTGTCCAGCAAGGCCGGGGCTGTGGGGTTGGGACAGATCGGAACATTGGGACCATACCTAGTGGTGCTTGGGGGTTTCAGGATGTGCTGGGTGTTTTATTTATTTTTTTAAATTTATTTTTATGTAGGAGTAACTGCTTTTTTATTCAGCCATTGATTAAGCTGATTGAATTGGGCATGAACTTCACATTACTTTTTTTTAAAAAAAAATTTAATTGGATATCCGTGAGATATCCAATTCTGTTCATAATTGGGTTTTAGTCATACAATGATCCAGCACCCATCCCTCCACCAGTGCACATTTCCCACCACCAATGTCCCCCGTCCACCACCATCCCCCAATCTCCCAACCCCAACCCCAACCCTCAACCTCCCTCTTTTCTTCTTGCTCTCTCTCTCCTTTTCCTTTTATGCATTATGGCATTCAATACAGGTGCCAAGAGCTCATGGTGTTTGTTCAGGGCATTCAGTATTTTTATTGGGACAGTAAGTCTGGAGTAGATTTTTCAGTTGGGTGGTGGCTTTGGGGTATGGATGTGACTGCCGAAGCTTCCAGAAATACAGGAAGGTTGGGGGGGCGGTTAGCCCATTCTGACTCTCAGAAAGCCTGGAGATTTCAGTCACAAAACCCGTATACCAATGGGGCTGGAGCGATAGCACAGCGGGTAGGGCGTTCGCCTTACAAGTGGCCAACACGGCCGACCCGAGTTCGATTCCTCCGCCCCTCTCGGAGAGCCCGGCAAGCTACCGAGAGTATTCGATATGCCAGACACAGTAACAACAAAGTCTCCAATGGAGACGTTACTGGGCCCGCTCGAGCAAATCAATGATCAACGGGAGGGCCTTTACCTTTACCTTTACCTATTATATCTTGATGAGGTCCATCCTGAGATGGTGGAGTCAAGCTGAGGGTATTGTGGTGATTTTGGATTGTGGAAGCATGTGCTGGGTGTAACTCAAGACCTTGCACCTGAGCTCTCTTCCTGGTCCCAGTTTTGTGATTTTAATAGGTTCCTTTTGCTGTCCTTGAAACTTAGAATGATCTAACCAAAGCCCATAGCCAGATATACAGAGAAGAAGGAGTCTGGGCAAGTCATGCCAGCGAAAAAAATGATACTGCACATCCTATTTTTTTCTTTTTTGCTTTTTGGGTCACACCCAGCGATGCTCAGGGGTAACTCCTGGCTCTGCACTCAGGAATTACTCCTGGCGGTGCTTGGGGGAACATATGGGATGCTGGGAATCAAACCCGGGTCGGCAAGGCAAATTCCCCACCCACTATTGCTCCAACCCCACACATCCTAAAAATTTTAAGACTCATTTTGTAACCATGTTTGCAGGAGTTAACCTAAAGCAAAACTACTCTGACCTGCATACTCGATAAATATATGGACCTAATTCAAGTCAAAGTCAAATGGGCTATTCAATTTCTGCAGACTCCTTATTTGTTTGATTCTTTGGGGACAGCAGTAATGGGAGGATCAAAGGATTAGCCTTGTTTTACAGGGATGAGTTCTCAGTCTCGGCTAAGGTACATTAGCTGCCCATTGTAGCAGCAAGATTTAGGGGAAATGCTTTTGCCATGTGTTCCTCCCTAATAATAGCTATTTCAGAAAGACCTGAATCTGGTTATTGAATTATTTTGTTTTCTGTTTTGATTTGGTTTTGAGGACATGCCCAGTGGTACTCAGGGCTTACTCCTAGCTCTGTTCTCAGGGATCGCTCCTGATGGGGCTTGAGGGACTATATTGTGGTGCAGGGCTGGTGGGGTGGATCGAACCTGGGCTGGGCTCCTATAAGTCAAGTTCACCTGCCATTCTGTCTCTTCATCTCATTACTGTTGATTTATTTCGGTGGGTTCCAAAGAGGGCAGCTCTGTGAGAGTGGGTTACAATGAGTGAGGCCATAAGAAGGATAAGTACTGTTGTGTTTGCCCTTATAACAGCTCAGTTCTGAAAGAGGAGGACTCCAGATTCCACTGACCAGAAGGTATTTGGGATTGTGACTTGAGCTATGATAGCAGGAAGGAACAGAGGCTGGATCTGAAGACAGGAAGCTGGACTTGCTTCTAGAAAGAAGAAAACTTGTAACTCAGGAGCACAGGTAACTCTGATGTATGATTTTGAATAATGTTCAGCATGGCTGATGTAAGTTTGTTGGCCTGTCCTAGTGTGATCGGTGGGCTCTGCTTCCATTCTAAGTTAGTTTTCTGGGGCGAATCCAGTCCCATAGTTGTGGTTCTGTCTTCAGACTCAATGAAGACCTGGCCCTACGAATGAGTTTGGAAGAACCAGAGGAATTAAGTCCAGAGGGATGGAGAGACGGTGCAGGGGTTTGAAGGTGCATGCCCCCCATGTTGTTCTAGGTTTGATCCCCAATACCACATGGTCCTCTCAACATTGTTTTGGATCGCATCCTGCACCACTGGGTGTAACTCTGAGCACAGCCACAGAGCCTGGGTGACTGAGAATCACCAGGAGGGGCCTCCTGAGGATTGTGTGGGAGGCCTAAGAATAAAAATCCAGAGCTGCGTGAAAATCCTTTGAAATTGGGTTCCACATTTTAACTTTGAGGCAAAAATCTCAGACACTACCAAGTATAGATTTTCAGTATAGTTTGACTGTTTATGATGATTGCACTCATGGAACTCTATCCCCTCAAGATATTAAATCTTCCCTCCCTCTGGAAACTTCCTTCATGCCCCTTTTATTCAGTTTCCAAGTTTCCCACCTCCTGGGTGACTGTGCTTCTGATGTCGGGGTAACTGTTGTTCTGAAGTCTGTCAGCAATGGAATTGTGTAATGGGAAGGAGGAGATGGGAGTTTGAGTTTCTTTATGAATGATTGGCGTTCCAGATGCTCCATTGTGGCAGTACTGTCTTCATAAGCTCTGAAGAGGACTTGCTTCCTCCTTCCTCTGAAGTGGCCTTTTACCACTTCCTCTTAGGCTCAGGGGCTCCCTGGTGAGCTGTCTTTCTAGATCAGGTCTGGGGAAGGTCTTGCCTTTGACCGACTCCTTTATGCCCTGCCTTTGCAATCCCCCAGCTCTGACAACTTTGGCTGTGGTGGAAAATTCCATCATCTGTGTGGAATAGGATGAGTAAGGTACACAATGACAGGATGTCACCCAGACCTCCTGTGTCCACAGGTGAGTGCCAACTCCACCCTCCTCCCCTTTCTTGATGACTTGATGGCTAGGTACATGTCAAAATCTATTTTTTTAATAGCTTTAAGTATCCAAAATAACACACGCACTTGCCTGTGGGTTAGGAGATAGGACACTAATTTATTGCTGCCTGAAATTGAGATAAATGTCATTGGCCTTCTGCCAACACCGTTCCCCCGCAGCAGATAGGAGCAATTCACAGACATTTTTTGGTGGACGTATATGTGATAACTTGTTTTGCTGCATGAACCACAAAGGCCAGTGGAAGGAAATAAAGCTAAGGGATGGGAGCAGTAGACTTCAGGAACCAAGAAATGTGCCTTTCAGGTTTCCTTGCAACTCAGTGCATATGGAACCTGCTAAGAGTCATATTTTTGTTCTTTTTGGGTTACTTCTGGCAGTATTCAGGGGTTATTTCTGGCTCTGCACTTAGGAATTACTCCTGGTGGTGCTCAGGGGAGCATATGGAATGATGGGAATCGAACCCGGGTCGGCTACATGCAACGCAAACCTCCTACCCTCTGTACTACAGCTCCAGCCCAGATGAGTCATATTTAATTTATTTTTTCCATTACTCAACATCCTGTCTTCTCCCTGTACTGGTGCTGCACCTGGTAGGGCTCAGGGCTTACTCTTGGTTTTGCATTCAGGAATTATTCCTGGCAGTATCTGGGAGATGCCAGAGATCTAACCCAGGTAGGCCACTTGCAAGACAAGTGCCCGACCTGCTATACTATTGTTCCAGCCCCGAAGGACCCATCTTTTGCAATCTCTGCAGTACAGTTGGAAGTGTCAGAGATTATCCTGTAAATCAAGAACTAACCAACAATCATTATTAAACATCCTCCCCACTCAACCCGCCCCCTCCCCGCCCCCCACACTCACTCACTCACTCACTCACAGAAAAGAATGTGGGCCTGAAGCCAGATGTAGGGATGTGGTAAAAGAACAAAGAAAGTGGGAAAAGTCAATACTAGGTAACAACTGGGGTAAAAGAGGAGAGGAGAAACCACCTCTGAAATCCAAGGGAGCAATAATGGGAAAGGGATTTTGTGAAGTGACTATTTTTGAAGGCAGTTGGGTCTACACACAGTGATGAATCTTGCAAATCCATGTTGATCAGAGTCAAAATAGAGGAAAATCATCTACGTTACAGGAGATGCAGATGGTCTGTAAACTCCTTTCTAGGCAGATTAGAACTGGTGCTAATTTGAGCAAACTGTTAAGAAAAGAACCCGAATTAGAACTTTGAAACTGGAGAGCCAACAGTAGAACATTCTGTGGATTTCAACTGGAAAATAGTCATTCCTCCTCCAGGAGCTATAAGATGTAGAACATGTCAGCTCTGGGTGAGTTAGGCATGTCACGCCCAATGCAAAGGTGTTGGTGGTCGCTGGGCCCATTTAGAATTACACTGGCTGCTAACACAGTAGGACATATGAACTTTGACCTTCAGGCCCCCATGATGGGTTCCAGGTCCCTGCAGATAGCACCACCACATGGAGGCAGCTGTTCTGGTAATCTGGATGGGTGGGCAGGGAGATTGATTCCTGCCCTGGACAGCAAGGCTCTGAAGGAAGCAGAAGCTCATGCTCAGTGCTCTCCTCCTTCCTGTTTCTCCCAAAGAGCACCCTGTAGGCCCTGCTGGGTGAGGTTGACTTTGTGCTGGACCAGTTGGGCCAGGTTGCTCTAGGAGGCTAAGCTGCTGTATTCAGCCTTTGCTGGTCCTGACATTCTGGTACCTTCTCTGTCCATTTCAAGTCATGGAAGCCTGCCAGATAGACTAGTTTGGAGGATGACTCTTTTTTTTTTTCTTATTTGTTTTTTGGGTCACACCCGGTGATGCACAGGGGTTACTCCTGGCTCTGCACTCAGGAGTTACTCCTGGTGGTGCTCAGGGGACCATATGGGATGCTGGAAATCGAACCCGGGTCGGCCGCGTGGAAGGCAAATGCCCTACCCACTGTGCTATCTCTCCAGCACCTGGAGGATGACTTTCCATTTATTTACTTTTTATTTTCCATAGCAACATGATTTTCTCATTTCCGTTTACACATGGAGTTAGGCATATGAATGATATGTGAACATTTCTGTCCCAGAATCACCTTCTTTTTAATAGGGTCTTTCTTGTAATACTAGGCCTGTCTCTGTGTTGGAGGCTGGAGGCTCTGGAAGCCACTCTAATGGTACCCAGAAGCACTCAGGACTAGAATTGGCTGTCTGGGAGCTTGTATTGCCAGAGATTGAACTCAGGCTTTCCAGATACCATCCCTTTGGACTATATTCCTGGTTACAATGAAGAAACATTAATAATAATAATAATAATAATAATAAAGGATTGGGGTCCCAGAGAGAATCCACAGTTTTACACACGCAAGGCAAGTGCTTGATCTTAGAGCCACAATCTAAGCTCATACAGCAGAGACTCTTAAGAGATTCTCTTATTTAGGAAACACACAAAAGGGAAAGATAAGCATTTTGCTTAATAGAAATGCAATCATAGAATTAATTCTTGCCTCCAAGGTAAATGTGATGAAAAACAGGGCACTTAAAGATTTCCTGAGGAAGCAGATAATATTATTATGGGCATCAAATGGGTGAAAAAATAGAAAAGTATTAAAGCAGAGCAAGACAATGTTTTCCTACCTGCAAGGTGGGAAGGTTTTATAATTGAAATGAAATAAGCTAGATTAAAGGGTAAAATAGAGGACTGGAGAAATAGTACAGTGGTTAAATGCTTGCTTTGCACATGACCAACAAAGGTTCAATCGCTTGCATCGTATCTAGTACCCTGAGTACTACCAAGAGTGAACCCTGACCACAAAGAAAGAATTAAGCCTGGGATGGACCTGAGCAATAGTCCAACGGGTGGGACACTTGCCTTGCATGCAGCTGACCCAGGTTTGATTCCTGGCATCCCATATGGTCCCCTGAGCCCACCAGGACTAATTCCTGAGTGCACAATCAGGAGTGACCCCTGAGCACTGCTGGGTCACGATCACGATCACGATCATCCTATTGTTCGTCGATTGCCTCAAGCAGGCACCAGTAACATCTCCTTCGTCCTAGCCCTGAGATTTTAAAAAGTGTCATATTCAAGGCTCTTTCAGGGTTAGGAGAAAGAGACCCATCATTGTTACTGGTATTTGGCATATTGGGTACGCCACGGGGAGTTTGCCAGACTCTGCCGTGTGGGCAGGTTACATTCAGTATCTCATTCTTACTTTGGACAACCTGGCAGGCTACTGCTGGGTGTGGCCCCCCAAATAAAAAAAACAAAACCAAAAAGAAGTAAGCTTGGGAACCAAGGCATGTGAGGCAGAAACCATGAAATCAATCCAGAAACAGAAATGTAATTGTAACCTACTAATCTCCACAAAGCTCTGGGAACTCCAGAGGGCAGGTGGGGTTTGTATGCTGCACTGATTAGGGGAAGGGGAAAGGAGAAGGGGGTTTGCAAAGGGGACTGGAGAAGGGCAACAGGAAGATGGGGAAGGGCAGCATCCGGTCACCAGATAAATACAGGTTTGTCCTGCCTCAGAGAGGCCAGGGACACAGATTGTAATCTGAACAAATGGGTCTTGCTAATTTGCCCTTGGGCAATGGAGCATATAATTTAGCTGGTAGAGCATTTGCCTTGCGCGTGGCCAACCTGGGTTCAATCCCCCAGCATCCCATATGATTCCCTGTGCACCACTAGGAGTGATTCCTGACTCAGAGCCGGGAGTAACCCCTGAACACTGCTGGGTTTGGCCTCCAAAGGAAAATAACAAACAGACAAAAAAGAATTCCCCAAACAAAAAAATAGAAACCCTAATTTCCCCTTGGGTAAACACATGTTCCCATTATTATTATTATTATTATTATTATTGTTATTTTACTTTTGGAGTCACACCTGGCAATGCTCAGAGGTTACTCCTGGCTCTGCACTCAGGAACTACTCCTGGCATTGCTCAGGGGACCATATGGGATGCTGGGAATCGAACCTGGGTCAGCCATGTGCAAGACAAACGCCCTACCTGCTGTACTGTTGCTCAGGCCCCATCCCATGTTCTTGCAGCGTTTTTGCTTTGGCTTCCTTCCTATTCATACTCGTTACTAAATGACTCTAGCCAGTTAAATCCATCTTGAACCCGCTAGGTCTCAGGTACCTTCAACTTAAAAACAACCCACTTGGCAAAGAGGTGTATTTGAATAACACGAATCCCAGCAAACTCAAGGAAAGATAAATCCCGTTAGGTTCTAGGCTCAGAGAGGAAGTGGAAATCCCATCTGCTCCAGGTCAGCCCTTCACAAGATTACCACTTCAAGCTGTGAAAGCCAGTTCCTCTCCTGATCCTCATAGTCTGTACTGCTTCCTGGAGGGTATGGTAGACTAATGAGAGAGGAAAAGCTTTTTTGTTTGTTTTTTAAGTCACACCCGGCGATGCTCAGGGGTTTCTCCTGCCTCTGCGCTCAGGAATTACTCCTGGTGGTGCTTGGGGGAGACCATATGGGATGCTGGGGATTGAACTTGGGTTGGCCACATGCGAGGTAAACACCCTACCCTCTGTACTATTCCCATGGCCAAGGTTTTACTTGAATTCATGTTAAAGAGAAATTGTCCACCTGCCTGGGCATCCTCCTGCAGGCAGAGAGGGCAGAGCTAGCCGTGGACCAAGAGGCTTCCCAGAACCTTTAACTAGCAGGACCCTTCCCACCCTCACTCCATGGAATTCCACTCATGGCTTGCTGGAAGCAGCGACTTCCTCCTTCTGACCCACTTTCAGGCCCCTGATGCCTCTGTCATCAGCCACCACTTTTAATCTGATTGTGTACATAAACACTTTCTTTGCTCATTGCCCAGAGAGGCTGTCATTAGCCTAATGCCAGCAGCCAGGGTAGAAGGGCCACCGAGGGAGCAAAGTGGTTGGAGGCCCTTCCTGCCCTTAAGGACCTGGAGTCAAATCTTGGCACTTATTTCAAAGTCTGTGAACCTCTCGGAACTCCCATCTACTGCCCCAGGCATTTGGGAAAGTGATCCATATTCATAGTTATCATGGGGATGTGACAAGATAATGCAGCCTCACACACAGAAGAACCGAGAGTATTTGATATGCCAGACACAGTAACAACAAAGTCTCCAATGGAGACGTTACTGGGCCCGCTCGAGCAAATCGATGATCAACGGGAGGGCCTTTACCTTTACCTTTAACTCCACGTCAGAGCATCCAGAATGTATAAGCTTTACAAAGTTCAGCTTGACCCCAAATATACAAAAGTGACAATGACTTTTCCTAGGCACAGTTTAATTCCCTGAAATGCAAGAAAGATGTTAGTTTTCTCTCCCTTCCTCTCTTCCTCCCTTCCTCCCTCCCTCCTTTCCTCCCTCCCTCCCTCCCTTCTTCCTTTCCTCCCTCCCTTCCTTCTTGCCTTCCTTCCTTGGGTGTGTGTGGGGGGGTCCTTCCCTTCCTCCCTTCCTTCTTTCCTGCCTTTCTTCCTTGGTTGGGTTGCAAGGAGGTAAAAGAGATCTTTTCAGGGCTTATTCCTGGCTCTGTGCTCAGAAATCATTCCTGGTGGGGCTCAGGGTACCATATGTGGGGCCAAGCGTCAAACCTCTGTAGGCCAAGTACAAGGCACTTCCCTTATTGCTGTACCATCTCTCCAGGTCCCAAACCAAGGTGTTTTTAAAAGTGAATCACCAAAAATAAATTTGTTTATTTTTATTTTCTTTGCAATGCTAAGTAGAATATTTCATTGCACTTGTGTTCTGAAGGTTGTATTTCAAGCAATGTTACATTTTAATTGCAAAAGGAAGTATGAATGATTAATGAGCGTCTGGCTGTACTGAGTGTGAAACTAGTAATAACTCAAAGCAGAGCATAGTCTAAGAAATAACACCATCCATTCCCATCATAGAGTTAGTGCAAGAATGGGAAAAGGAGGAAATAACAACTTTTTTTTGGTTCATATATATATATATATATATGTATATATATATATATTTTGCCACACCTGGTGATGCTCAAGGCTTACTCCTGACTCTGCACTCAGGAATCATTCCTGGCGATGCTCAAGGGACTATCTGGGATGCTGGGGATACTATTGCTCTGGCCCACCAAAATTCAGAATTTTTTAATGGCAAGTAAAATTTTCCATCAATTCCATGTTTTAACTAAATCATAAAGTCTCAAAAATTGGAGACAGTCAAAATAAATGTCTTGTGTGTTTCTCGTGTGCCACTACTAGGTCCAGGACAGTCTGATGGAGAGATGACTGTGGCATAAACGTGCCATTCATGGGACAAAGGACCTGAGAGTCACAGTATAGTATGGGCAGGGGATGTATAGAAGTTAATCTGTTGTCTGTGCTCTCTTGGCTTTGACCTCCTAAGAAGGACTCAGCCGGCCACAGGTCACTTTCATTCATTAGTCAGTGTTTTTGCCTGCTTTCAACCATTTATTTATTGGTCCTTTGATCATCATTTATTAGTAGCTTCTCATGACACTGTTTATGAGGAATACTAACATATGATCTAACCCAGACACATGGATGCATAGTTCACTGATGCTGGAGGATGTCACTGACTCTCCTAGGAAATTAGAGAGCGTTCGTCATCAAAGAAAATCATCACTTTCCTATTTCAGCTGATGAGGGGATAAATATGTCAAGAGGAGTGTTTGTCCTCTCCTAAAAACATTTAGAAATCAGTATTTCCTGACATCCAGTCTTTAATAAAGAAGAAACATCAGTTTATTTTGGTTTTGCTTCTATTTGACCAGCCATGGGTTGCTTCCAAACTGCATCCAACTCCTGGATTTATCCCACTGTGATCCTCTGCCTATTTGGATTTTTCTCCATGATGAGACCCTCAGAACCTTTCCTTATCCCATATTTAACTGGACCGGATAAAAACCTGACAAGTACCGAGGTAAGTTAGCACATATCTATATCTGTGCCATGCTTGAACAAAGACTTAAGTTAAGATCTCATGTCTTCATCCAACTTGAAACCACTGATACACAAATCTCAATGAATGCTTGATCTGTAGTAATTAAAATGGAAAAGAACTGGTAAAATGATACTTTATACTTCAAGAAAGAAAGAAAGAAAGATAGAAAGAAAGAAAAAGGGAGCCAGGCACAATTGATGTAAAAATTAATATTTTAAACTTGTTTTAATTTGGGGGGAGGGGGGTCAACAGTGCTTAGAGACTACTCTCTATTCAGGGGTTTTGCCTGTGGTGCTTGGGTGAACATGCATGCTGATCCAATTCAGACCTCCCTCCTGTGTGCAAAGCTTGCAAAACATTCTCTTGAGCTATCTATCTCCTAGCCAAAGTATGTTTCACTTTTATGGAGTCATAACATTCGTCTTAACACTCATATATATTCTTTCATTCTGCTATGGTAATCCCCAAATAACACCCCTGCCAGGCACAACATCTGGTCTACTAGACATTCCACTGCTGAGGTAGGAACAGAATCTGACTAAGAATTGCTGTATTTTTAGGACACTTAGTTGGGTTAGAAAACTATTTAGCAGCCAGTGATACATTACCAGCTCTACTTCCCAGCTTGATCTTACTGACGGCCAAATCTCTTACTTAAAAAATTCGGGGTCGGAACGATAGTACAGTGGGTAAGGCGCTTGCCTTGCAAGCGGCTGACCTGGGTTCAATACCCAGCAACCCATTTGGTTCTCCATGTACCACCAGGAGTAATTCCTGAGTGCAGAGCCAGGAGTAACCCCTGTGCAATGCCAGGTGTGACCCAAAAAGAAAAAAAAATTCAACGATTTTCTTTTTAATAAGAATAATGTGATAATTCATGGAGGCAGTTGGGGAGTTCCCTGATCAGGGCTATGATCAGAACAGGTGTTATGCCCAGAACAGAGAAAACCCTGCAGAGATAAACTTCCCCTTCAAAGGTGAGGCACTGGTTCCATGGGGGGCTGGGGTTGTGGGAGGTCACAAAGGCAGGCTTGTACCTGCAAGAGTGCAGCAGGTTGGGCACTTGCCATGCACACTGGTGAACCAGTTTTGATCCGCCAGCACCACATATGGTCCTGCAGCACTGCCAGGAGTGATTTCTGAGCGAACTGGAAGTGATCCCTGAGCACAGAGCCAGGAATAAGCCCTGAGTACCTCTGAGAGCAGTTCAAAAACAAATAGAAAAGGCAGATTGGTTCTGCTATAGCTGAGAGCGGAGGAAGATGATTCTGTTTCATTTTCCCAGGTGGATGGAGGCTTATCATGAGTAGACAAAATGGACAGAAGGGGGCTGAAGAGATGGTATAGCAGGTGACGCACTTGCTTTGCACTCAGACTGCGCAAGTTCAATCCTTGACGTCATGCATAAAGTTTCTTTCCTTTTTTTTCCCCTTTGTTTTTTGGGTCACACCCAGCCATGCTCAGGAGTTACTCCTGGCTCTGCACTCAGGAATTACTCCTGGAGATGCTTGGGGGGACCATATGGGATGCTGATGATTGAACCCAGGTTGGCCGCATGCAAGGCAAATGCCTTACCCGCTGTGCTATTGCTCCAGCCCAATTTCTGAGCCCCTCTAGGAGTAAGCCCTGAGCATTGAGTGGGTAGACTAAATGACTGTCCCCATCTTCCCTCCCAAAAAAACTCGAGAAAGAGCACAAAAATTTGTAAATCTACAACTGTACCTCTTGGTGTTTCACTAACAAACATTTTTAAAAAAAATGTAAATGATGGAGAATGGGCACTGGTGGAGGAATGGGTACTGGATCATTGTATAACTGAAACCCAAGCACAAAAATTTGTAAGTCTACAACTGTACCTCGTGGTGATTCACTAATAAAAATTAAAAAAAAAAAACTACAGAAAGAGGCTCAGTATGAACCAAGAGCCCACTGGCTTGGTTTCTAACATCACTGTGGAAGAGTATTTATTTCCTTAAAAGTGTGCCTCAGTCTAACCAGACTTTCTCTGTGCCACATCACTCACATTTTACCCTCTGAGGGTGCTGGAGAAAGCAGGGGTGGGTGTGTTGAAGGCTAGAAATCATGAGGGTACAGGATAGAAGTTAGTGTCACTGTCTTGCACTTCTAATGCTCCAAAGTTGAATGACTTTAGTTCTTTGCTTTGTTTCTATGAGTGGATAGATGCTGGGCTTGGTCCATTATACTTCTAACAATCTCGTAGATGACCCATCTAAACTGAGGACCATGGTGAGGAAGGAGAGTTGAGTCTGGGATTCAGAGGAAGACAGGTTGGGAGTCCAGCAGCTTGATCAAAAGGAGATGTACTACATCACTAATTTCCATGGTGGGGTTCTGCAAGATGCACTAGTCTTTGCTCTCTTCATGTGATCATCCAGATTAATAAACTGGAGTTTTATTTATTATCATTATTATTATTATTTTAAACATGATGAAGAACTGCTTCAAAGAAGGTCATCATTTTTCTGTACCATACTATTGATCTAATGTTGATAATCACTGGGCAAAAGAGTATCTTTTTTTTTTTTTTTTTGCTTTTTGGGTCACACCCGGCGATGCACAGGGGTTACTCCTGGTTCTGCACTCAGGAATTACTCCTGGTGGTGCTTGGGGGACCATATGGGATGCTGGGAATCGAACCCGGGTCGGCCATGTGCAAGGCAAACACCCTACCTGCTGTACTATCGCTCCAGCATCAAGAGTATCATTTTTTTCACTAATTTTATCAATTAGATCAGATATCCCATATCTATATGACCGAATTTAAAATAATTCCAATTACTTATTAAGGCACGCTGTGCTCCTGTCACACAGGTCACAACAGAAATAATTTCTTTGGGAGAATAACTCTCTTGTCCAGGCTTGAAAATATGTTTCCTGGAGCGCTTTGCTATGACCTGAAGACTGTGCTCTCCAGTGGGATGCAGAATCGGCTAACAGTCAGCTCCTGTGCCCCTTGTCATGCACAGACCTAAGGAAGATAGTCCTCACCCCACCTCTGAGCAATCCATGGTGACAAGAGCCCTTCTCCCCTTTGCAGATCACAAAGGAGATTTTTCCTGTATGGACCTATTCTTACCTGGTGCTGCTTCTTCCTGTGTTCATCCTCACCGACTATGTCCGCTACAAGCCGGTCATCATCCTACAAGGGATCAGCTTCATTATTACGTGGCTGCTGCTGTTGTTTGGCCAGGGGGTGCCGGCCATGCAGATTTTGGAGTTCTTCTACGGGATGGTCACTGCCACCGAGGTGGCCTACTATTCCTACATCTACAGCGTGGTCAGCCCAGAGCACTACCAGCAAGTGAGCGGCTACTGCAGGAGCATCACACTAGTGGCCTACACGGCGGCCTCGGTGCTGGCCCAAGTCTTGGTCTCCCTGGCCGGCGTGTCACTCTTCCACCTCAATGTCATTACCATGATCTCTGTGTCTGTGGCCTTCCTTTTCTCTCTTTTCCTCCCAATGCCCAGTAAAAGCATGTTTTTCCATGCAAGATCCAGCAGAGAAGTACAGCAGCCGCCAAGCATGAAGGACATGTTACATGAGATTCATGAGTATGAACGACCAGGAAGGGAAGAGGAGAAACGCCCTTCCGGAGTCACCAGCATTTCAGAAAACCTGTCTGATGACAGCCCGGTGGGTGGCCCAAGGCCAGAGCATGCAGCTCGGAGAGTTTTTGAGCAGTGGTTCCAAGATCTCAAGGCGTGCTACCACTCAAAGCATCTTTTCTACTGGTCCCTATGGTGGGCTTTTTCCACAGCAGGGTTTAACCAGGTTTTGAACTATATTCAAATCCTGTGGGATTATAAGGCACCATCCCAAAATTCCGACATCTACAATGGAGCTGTAGAAGGGATTGCAACATTTGGAGGTAAGGAGACTTTTATTTCTCCATCTTTGCTTGGTTACCCCATTAACTTATTGCTCCAGTGGCTATAGATCCCCCTGGTGCAATTTTCAGAACAAATATTGTTTGTTCGTTTGTTTTTGGGGCCACTCCAGCTGTGCTCAGGGTTTACTCCTGGCTCTGCATTCAGGGATCATTCCTGGCTTGGGGACCATATGGGGTACCAGAGACTGAACCCAGATGAACTGCTTGCAAGGCAAGTGCCTTCACCCTGGTCTTATTTCTCCAGCCCCACAAATATTCATTTTTTTTTTCCGGATTGCAATGTTCTAGGGAAAAAGAGAGATGTGGCTCATATATTTAAATGTGTTTGAGTAATAACAAAAACCTCACAAACTCAGGATTGAGTTCTGAAAGATTTCATTTCAGCCAAATTCCTGATTTTGTTTTATCAACAGCATGAATGTTAACAATGACTCTTGTTCTTCACAGATTATTTTATCAAGAAGAAAATGCAGGTGTCATGTAAATGTAAAGTTACCGTTTTACATTATTGTAACTTTCTATGGCTTCTAAATTTTGTTGAGATTTTTTTTTTTAACAAAAAGTATTTGGTTTATGTTGTGACCCAGGTGAGTAAATTTAGACCATTCTGGGCTAATTATATTTGTAAATGAGGAGTGTAAGGTACATAAGAGGTAGAATTCTAACATCAAAGAGAAATTGCCTTTTAAATTTATTCTACAATAAATATTTATATCCTGATAGGCCAAAACTTTGAAGATACTTTGTAGAAGGAGATTTTCACTCCCCAGTAACAAACAGTCTGAAAGGTCATAGTGTGTCTATTTTAGTGCTTGCTTCAGCAGCACATATACTAAAACTGGAACATAATGTGTCTATTTTATTTTTTCTCCCTTTTAGGGAGATATCAGGTTAACTCCTGGAAACCAGATTGTTCCAGAGTTGTTTCATTGAAATCTTTCTCCTACATTCCACATTCTACAGGGGAAAATTATTCTATTTCCTGTTATAATAATGATTCTTTCCTAGGTTATATGTGGAAAAGTTAATAAAAGTCAGAAATTATATTCATGCCTTTCATTTTGTTAAAGAGAACTGTAATTGCTAAAAATTTATTGCCAATTTTTAGGTCTCTAAAACAAGTAAATTAGAAGGGACCTTGAAGTTATTCAGATGAAGATACAATTTAAGTAATAAAGATTGGTCCTTTTTATTGTATTTTTTTTGGTTTTTATTTAATACCCAGCTCAGGGTTCTTGGGATTTACTCCTGGCTAAGTGCTCAGGGATCACTTCTAGCAATGCTTGGGAGACCAAATGTGGTGCCAAGGATTGAACCTGGGTCACTTCTATGCAAGGCAAGCAACCTCCCTACCGTACTATCACTCTAGCCCAAGATAAGTAATTTTTTTTCCCAAAAATTGCTCATGATGTCAATAAAAAATAATATTGACAGAATAGAGGGAATCAAAGGGACAACTGGGTCAAAACAGGATAAATCCACATGGAATGGATCATGTTTGTGTGTGTTAGTAGGAGAGCCGTCCTTTGGAATAGATGTGATGCAGGTCTTAAGGAATCCGGATGCTGTTTCTCCCACACCAGGTCAATCTGCTTGAGCCTCCCAATGTTTCTCTTTCAGGAGCACTGGCTGCCTTTGCAGTGGGTCTTGTGAAAGCCGACTGGGACCTTCTGGGAGAGTTGGTTCTGGGCATATTCTCAGTTGTCAATGCGGGTTCTCTATTTCTCATGCATTATACCACCAATGTGTGGGTTTGCTATGGTGGCTATTTCATCTTCAAGTCCAGCTACATGCTTCTCATAACCATAGCAGCGTAAGTATTGCCAACCATATCATTTCTCTCCTGAAAGTAATCCATATTCTCTGTTTTAAAGTCCCACTTTTGCTTTAGAGCCTCAGATGGATTTTTAAAATTTTTTCATTTATTTATTTGTTTATTTTTGCTTTTTGAGTCACAGCCGGCGGTGCTTAGGGGTTATTCCTGGCTCTGCACTCAGGAATTACTCCTGGAAGTGCTCAGGGAACCATATGGAATACTGGGGATTGAACCAGTGTTGGCTGTGTGCAAGGCAAATGCCCTATCAGCTATACTATCACTCTGGCCCCTTCAGATGGATTTTAATCACATACAGTGTTAAATTTTGGCTATTTCATTTCAAATAGACAAAATAAGCCATATTTTCAATTAAGTAAAATCTGGTAAATGAAAGACAAGTAGTTTCATAACCTCAAAATGATTATGTCAGTTTGTGACTTTTCATTTTTAGCAGTTTGCCAGAAAACACTGTAGTGCAAATGGATTTTGAATGATAGGTATTTTATCCTTGGCATCACTATATTGCTTAAGTATATTGAGGCATATATTTTTGTATTAAAATTTTCTCTCTAAGGTATAAAAAGGTTGATACTGAAAAAAAATAGATGTAGGTAAAGAGGGTAGCGGATACTCTAAGAGATCATTTCTTAAATAAATATGTTTGATTCTGTATGTCAGTGAGAGAAAGTTGACTATATTAATGAAAAATATTAGAATTTTAAATAGCACTTAAGAACTAGACAATAATTTGACCAAGTTTTGAATTTGTTAGAAATGTTTGATATGTAATTGACAGAACAGAAATATAAACAAGGATCTGAGAACAGATCATGAAGCAAGGGAAAGAGATGATTTTGTTTGTTTTGTTCACTGAAATGTGTTAGCTTAATGAAAAACTCATATTGAGTTTCTTTGTAACAGGAACATTTGGTTTGTAAAGTAAAATTGTTGTCTTTCTTTTTATTTTGAGATGCCCAGAACTCTAAGCATTTTACCTGCATTCTTCAGAAGAACTAGTACAAATGTCAGTATAATTTTCTGGAATATATTCATTAAAGATTCTCCTAGTGATCTAAGTAGTCCCATTAATCATCACCTGGTTTTAAAACTATTAAACCATAAATTACCCACCAGTTTGAAATTATCATTGAAACTTTCATTATAAGCGATCATAACAAAGACTTTAAGTGTTCAAAAAGTCCTCATATTGCCTTTATTTTGCATTTTCATAGATTCACTGTAAAACTATATAATTAAGTGACAGCCAATATTCACAAGCTACACGTACTGGAATTATTGGGGTTTAATTTCAGAAGCATTCTGTTGGCTAGGAAGATGTTTATTTGAACTGTTTTAATTCCATTCTTAATATTACTTTAAAAATTTCCTTTCTTTGCTTTGCTTATTAGTTTATACTATGAGGATTTATGAAGGTTAGTGCTTTTAATAACAAACTGCTTTCCTTTTAACTTTTGTCCTTTAAATAATCCCATCATTAAAAACTTTTTGCTGTTTAATGGCAGATTTCAGATAGCTGTTAATCTGACTGTGGAACGCTATGCCCTGGTGTTTGGAATCAATACTTTCATTGCTCTTGTGGTTCAGACCATTATAACTGTGATTGTTGTGGATCAGAGAGGACTCAGCCTCCCAATCAGCACTCAGGTAAGCAGAAACTCTTCTGTTTTTATGGTCAAGTCATTTGTAGGAATGGAGAAGAACCAGGCTATCTCAAAGACCTTTGGTTGTACTACTGCCATTAGTGAATTTCTTGAAATTTTGAAGAGTGATTTTAAAAAATAATGACCATAGTATAGTATACTATGAAAGTTTCCAGACACAATACCAGTAGAAAAGGATTTTTTTTTGTCTCCTAAGACCTCATCAGATTTTAGAAGAGACTGATCACATCTTATCACCGTGTCCTCATACCTCATCATCTTTGTATACTCAGTTCCAAGAATGACTGATTTTTCAAGTGGGGAGGTTCTATGAAGGCAAAACACTTCCTTTATCTTGCATCAGGAGGATTTAACATTAGCCCGACTTATGGCTTTATTTATTGACCTGCTAATAAAGGAAGATTTTATTTTCGTTTTTGGCCATGCCAAAACTGTGATCAGAGCTTACTCCTGGCTCTGTTTTCAGGGATCACTCTTGGCAATGCTCAGGAGACCATAGGTGGGATTGAATCTGGGTCAGCTACTTAGAAGGCAAGCACTTTACCCACTGTACCATATCTCAAACTCCCAAATTTCATTGTTAAAGACATTTAAGAAACCCGCCATCCTTGAAACATAGACCATAAATCAATAGGATTTAATGCATTTACATTACTGATAATGTCCTCTAGGATTCATGTAACCCTGACTCAAAACCTTCACTCTTAATTAGTTCCTGCGTTGCTTATACCATCTCTCTGGTTCTTCTGAGATGGCAGAGAAAGAACGGTGCTAATCTAAGTGGTTCATATTATCATCCTGGGTCTTATTATATACCATGATCCAAATTAAGTGAAAATACCACTCTGTATGATCAGTGGCATAGAAGGTCTGATTGTGTCTATGTCTAACTAAGTTTCCACTCTCTAGTTTTTAGTTTATGGCAGTTACTTTGCAGTCATTGCCGTAATTTTTCTAATAAGAAGCATATACGTTATCTGCTCCACAAAATGCCAGAAGAAAATACAGGACTGTGCTATAGGTCAGAATCCTTATGGACCACAACCGGAAGAACCAAGGACTGCCATCATGGGAACAAAGCTCTAATCTCAGGAAAGCCATACTTTCTCAGCGTGAACTGTACTGATCACAGTCACTGGTGCTGTAAGTTGACATTCTTCACAAGTCTGCATTCCAGTGAACCTTTTCAAAACCATCCCAGGACTCTACCCTTGGACTGAATATATGTGTATCCAGGTGAATGGATGCAGTCAGCATTGATCCTCAGCTGCACTTGATATCCCAGTGTGGGACCCAGTGAATACTTGGGAGTGGTAAATCCTAGATTTGACCTCATGTAAGGACAGGGCAATGACATGGAGACAAACCATGAAAGAAGACCTCCATTTTGGAGTTGTTTTTCAGCATCGGTGAGCAGAAATTCTAACATGTGGCACATTTTTCCCCACATGAACCATTTTTCTCTTTTGATTAGGTGTACTTCTGTGCAACTTTTAGTTGAGAGACTTAATGGTTTTGTTTCATTGTCGGCACTTTGCTTTTATCTTGATAATAGAAGAACCTATTAGGTTTTATTAGATCATCCTTCCACGTAGTTTTCATGTTGTTCTATTTTTCATGTTGTGCTCTGCTGAACTTTGTTGTTGCTACCCTACCTCAGGAATAACTGTGACATTTGACTCTATGCACAAGATGATCTTCAGGTCAATGCCCAGTGGCCTTGGAGAGACTGAGCTCTCTCCCAACCAGCACTCCCGATGGATGTTATAAGGCATGTCAGTGTGATGTCTGTCTGAACAGAAAGTTGTAAGTGGAAATCTCCAGGCATTTCTACAAGTACTTATGAATTAGAAAACACTGTTGGAGACTCTTAATGTTTTGATGGTAAAGGTTGCACTAAGTAAAATAATTATTAAAGAGAAATATTAAAGAGCTTTACTAATTTTTTGATAAAAAGTTGTACTGAGAATTGTCTGAGCTTGTCTGTTCTTTGAAACTTCACTGATAGATGCATTGTATGGTCTACCACTGGAAACAAAAGAATGTTGATCACAATTTGTGTTTCAAATATAATTCTTTCTGATTCCAAAATTTAATCACTTGAATGAAAATTAAATTCAGTCTAAGAACTAACATATTTAAAGGAGAAAAGCTTACAGAAAGTCAGTCTAGAAGATCTGCTGTGTTTTTTGGTGTGTGTAAGAGATAGCTGTGTTGAAGAAGTTGGTAGATATTTCCAGTTGTGCCCTTTCTTCTTCACTTTATTCTTGGTTTCACACACTGCTCCTATCATCAGGAATTCAGAAGGAAAGGAGTAACAAAGATCTACTGAACTTAAACTGTGTATCAAACAGTGCAGAGGCAGGAGACTCTGTGCTGTTCTCTTCTGGGAGCTGGGTTTTAGTCTCTGGGTCTTGGCCATTGATGGGATTACACGGCACTGGGGGTCAGATGGTGGTATGATCCCTGCCTACTGGAAGATAGAGGAACTGGGTGGAGGATGCTCAGCCCCGATCCGAGCAGACTTGGAGATCTCAGCCCTGGGACCCGCATGCCTTTGTTCCTCTGCCGGTACCTACATGCGTGTGGAGAGTGGTCTCAGCATGAGTCTCCTGCCCCCGCGCCTGGCTGTCCTCGCCTGCTCAGATCGTGGCTGAGCATCCTCCACTCAGATCCTCCATCTTCCAGTAGGCAGGGGTCACACCCACCACCTGACCCCCAGCGCCGTGTAATCCCATCAACAGCCAAAACCCAGAGACTATAAAACCCAGCTCCTGGAAGTGCGCAGCCGCAAATGTGGCCGTGTGACTTCTTTTTTTTCTTTTTCTTTCTTTCTTTTTTTTTTTTTTATCTCATTCTTACTTTGAACAACCTGGCAGGTTACCGAATGTTACCTGCCCACACGGCAGAGTCTGGCAAACTCCCTGTGGCGTACCCAATATGCCAAATACCAGTAACAATGATGAGTCTCATTCTCTTAACCCTGAAAGAGCCTTGAATATAGCACTTTTTAAAATCTCAGGGCTAGGATGAAGGAGAAGTTACTGGGGCCTGCTCGAGGCAATCGACGAACAACAGGATGATCGTGATCGTGATTGTGATCAAACAGTGCAAGACACAGCAGTCAGGAGAGTTGGGGAAGAATAAAGAATAAAAAGAATTCTATTCTTATTACATATGGAATTCCAAATGTCAAAATCAGTCACCAAAGGGACGTAAATTAAGCATAATTATAAAATGATATAGCTACAGAGGAAATATCTAGATTGTGATAATGTTTTTTTAGGATGTTTTTTCCAATTTTAGTATATGTGCTGCCGATTCGATATGCCAGACACAGTAACAACAAAGTCTCCAATGGAGACGTTACTGGGTCCGCTCGAGGATGTTTTTTAAAGGATGTCATTAGACTAAGTTGGTTCTAATATTTTAGAAGCCTACTTAATCAAATCAAAATCTAAGTCTAAAAATGATTCAAGAATAAGAAATCAAAACTTTAGTACAGAGAACTTTAGTCAACTGTGCTTTTCCAAATATGACAAACTCTTAACCTATAGGAATCAAATACTATTTTTGGCTTTATTCCCACCTTTCGTAATAAATGTCTACAATTTCTGTCAATGAAACTGTTGATTCTAAATTCTAATACAAATAAACTCAACAGTTACGCAACAGTGTACCTTTGAACAAGTATGAGTGAACTTCAATTAGTAGACCTATTATAGGTGTCACCTATTCTAGGAGGCTTAACTCTTTGAACACACTAATACCAAGCCTTGAGGTAAGTCTTTCAAAATTTAGCCTGTTACAGAAATGTTCCAGAAGGTATGACATAAAAGGTGACAGTGAAACATAACAGAAAATTTAGAAAACTTTGTAGTGATCTTGTCTAGGTCATTCTGTTAAGAAATCCGTACTTAAATGAGGAGAACTTAGTGATGTTTTGATGACTTGCCTGAAACAAGTGGAAACCAAAAGAAGCCAAGGGTTCATAGGTCCAAGGCCCTCTACAAAAGGCCGTGAAGTCAGAGATTTGAGAAAAGAATGAGAAAGCATCCCCTCCTACCTTACCCCACAATGTTTCTTAGCTGCACAAACACTTCCCAGCCGGTTCTCGATGGCACTCCCTTTTTCAGTGGCCAAACAAAAATGTCAACTTACTGAAAATGGAAGTGACCGTAACGAAGTATGCTTTTTTTTGCAATCAACTGTTCACTTGAATGATATTTCTTAGATTCATGTCATCAATGTATAATTTTCCCCACCCCAAACTCTCATTTATGTATGGTACAATCTTATAGAAAATATTTATATAACATGGTAGTGGAAGAACCCACAGAAAGGCAAAATCGGTCCAAGGAGAATTAGATTTGAGATAATAGAATATACAGGCACAGACTTAGCGAAAAATGAAGTCTACTGACTTAAAGAGAAAATTAGTCTGTGTCCTACAGGATAATAAAGCATCAGAATTGAGACTTGTCTTTGCCTACTGGAGATCATTGCATCTCTACCAGATAGAAGCCAGGAATTAACATAGACCCTCACAGAGACTTCACCCAAGTCAGTAGAAAATAGGAAATTGAATAAAGAGGATTTCCTCTTCACAAGTTAGGAATTTCCAGAGAGACCTATTAGGATTCCACTGTTGTGGTGAGGGCACAAATTCATCCTTTGGCTTTGTTTCCAAGTTTTGATAATTTTCAACATCTTTCCTAGATAGTTTTGTGTCCTGAAATTCACTAATAAATTCTGAGACTTGGTAGATGCTTGTGTATTCTTTTCATGATTACTTCCCCATTGTTGTTTTTTTAAAGTAGTGGCCACCCCCAGCAGTACTGGGGTTGAAGGACGGTCCCTGTGGCCTCTCATGATGTTGCTCCAGCGGTATTGACACCTGATGGTTTGGTGCTAGGTCCTAGGTAATCAGGCATTATCCAGTGAGGGTTTCCAGAGGAACCATGTGATGTTGGGAATGGAACTTGGGGTCTCTTGCATGCTAGTCATGTTCTCTATCCCTTGAACTATCTTCCTGGCCATACGATTATTTTTACTCTAGAAAAGTACAGATATCGAATGTACTATCTCAACGATTTTTTTAGTACAGTTTAGTGATATTAAATACATTAATATTATATAACTGTCATCACCATCCTTCTCCAGATTCTTTCATCTTGCAAAACTGAGTTTTTTCTCTACCCACTAAAAATTAACTCTTGGGGCTGAAGAGACAGAACAGTGAGTAATGGACCTGTCTTGTATGTGGCCAACCCAGGTTCTATCCCAGACCCCATCTGGTCTCCTGAGCCTCGCTGGGAATGCTTCCTGAGCACAGAGGTAGAAGTAAGCCCAGATCACAGCCAAGTATGGCCCACAATCCAGAAACCAAACCAACCAAACAAAAAACTCCAAAATTTAAAAAAAACAACTTTCTAGCTAAAGAGATTATACAGGGGTGAAGGAGTTTGCCTTGCATGCAGCCAACCAATATCCGATCCTTAGCACCCCATATGTCCCTCAAGTACTGCTAATTGTGATCCCTGAACACAGAGGCAGGAGTAAGCCCTGAGCAAATATGACTGCGGCTCAAAAAGAAACAAACAAATAAAATTTAGATAGTCTAAAAATTAGCTCTCCTCTCCTCTCCTCCACCTCTACACCAGTCCTAGGAAATCACCATTCAAGTTTTTGTATCTATTTTTTTTTAATGTAGGAGTATTGCTATTTATTCAGCCATTGATTAGGCTGATTGAATTGGGCATGAACTCCACCTTACTTTTTTATCTTTTTTTTTTTTATAAATTTATTCATTAAATCACTGTGAGAGCAGCTAGAAAGCTTTCGGGTTTAAAGTCTCGGTCATACAATGAAACACCTGTACCTTCACCAGTGCCCATTTTCCACCACCAAAAACTCCAGTAAACCCCCCATCCCCAACCCTCCCCCTACCTGTGGGGCAGATGATTTCCACATTACTCTTTCTCTACTTTGATTATGTTCAATATTTCAACCCCAGACCTACCATTATTATTTGGGAATTTACCCCAAAACTCACGATGATCATGATCACGACCATCCTGTTGTTTGTCGATTGCCTCGAGCAGGCCCCAGTAATGTCTCCTTCATCCTAGTACTGAGATTTTTTAAAAAGTGCCATATTAAAGGCTCTTTCAGGGTTAGGAGAATGAGACCCATCATTGTTACTGGTATTTGGCATATTGGGTACACCACGGGGAGTTTGCCAGACTCTGCTGTGTGGGCAGGTTACATTCGGTATCCTGACATTTTGTCCAAAGTAAGAATGAGAGAATAAAAGATGTTGCGCGGCCACAAATGCGACCACATGCTTCTGGGAGCTGGGTTTTATAGTCTCTGGGTGTTGTCCGTTGATGGGATT